TTGGCTCACTTTCATGGTGGATGATTCAATCCATTGCCTCCAACAGCACGGCTTTCCTTACAGTCGAATGCTCTACTTCATTGGAGTTTGTGGGTTCTTGAACTTTGTTGATAATTCCCAGTGAGATGACTGCATGCTGATGGATCTGCAGCAGTCTCAGAGGCTTCACAGATACCAATGGAGCTCAGGTCAAAGTCATAGGGGTCATTCTGGAGATCAGTTGGCAGGATCATCACAATCCTGCTGAGTTTTCAATATATTCCACCAGCACATCGCTTGAATGCAACAGAAGGCAGTATTAGCTTGATTATGATGACTTTGATTTATTTGGGAGGAGGGCCATATTGGGTGCTATTCAGCTAAATACTGAATAAATACTATTCAGCTACATATTGGGTGCTATTCAAGGGAAGTAATAGTGCCACAGTATTCTGCTCTGGTCAGACCTCACCTGGAGTACTGTGTCCAGTTCTGGGCACCACAGTTCAAGAAGGACACTGACAAACTGGAACGTGTCCAGAGGAGGGCAACCAAAATGGTCAAAGGCCTGGAAACGATGCCTTATGAGGAACGGCTAAGGGAGCTGGGTATGTTTAGCCTGGAGAAGAGGAGGTTAAGGGGTGATATGATAGCCATGTTCAAATATATAAAAGGATGTCATATAGAGGAGGGAGAAAGGTTGTTTTCTGCTGCTCCAGAGAAGCGGACACGGAGCAATGGATCCAAACTACAAGAAAGAAGATTCCACCTAAACATGAGGAAGAACTTCCTGACAGTAAGAGCTGTTCGACAGTGGAATTTGCTGCCAAGGAGTGTGGTGGAGTCTCCTTCTTTGGAGGTCTTTAAGCAGAGGCTTGACAACCATATGTCAGGAGTGCTCTGATGGTATTTCCTGCTTGGCAGGGGGTTGTACTCGATGGCCCTTGTGGTCTATTCCAACTCTATGATTCTATGATTCTTCTATGATTCAGCTAAATAAATAGTGCAAAAGTTTTGGGCCGTGCAGGTAAACTCTCCCCCTTCTCTTATATAGGCGGCTTATCTTTAAACTAGACTTGGACTGGATATTGCTGAAAAGGTGGAGACCTTCAAAGGACACCTTCAACTAGAAGGCTGTTCTCTGTCAAGTAGGAGATACGGCCACCCTGGAATTGTTACAGCCACCAAGTTCAGCTCTCGGGCTTGTTCAGTAGCAATTGCAGTTCTCACTTCTCTACCTCCCTGTGCAGAGGTCTGCAGCCCTTGGGATGCAAACCATGCCAGCATAGGGGGTCCTGCTTGCATCCAACTCAGGCATGTGGACTCCTTAGCAAAGGAGGAACGCACTGCATTACCCTATATAGCTTTATCCCAGCCACGTTCCGATACTGTCAATCAGAATATTCTGGTCCAAGCCTGACTAGCACGTCTGGAAGATGGAGAGACCCTTTGCCACCTTTGAAGATCTCCATGTGTGGGCAGAAAAGCTCTGAAGTCTTTGCTCCCAATAAGAATATGAGCTCTAATTTCATCATTTAGAAAGACCAAGTGATTCTTTAGTTGCATTTAACCCATAGCTGTCAACTTTCAGATTTGAAAATAAGGGATCAGCAGCCTCACCTGTCCTGGGGACAGTCTACGGGATATTTAACAATCCGGAATAGCAGCGGGAAGCAGCGCTGGAATAAGGGAATTTCCCACAAAAAATGGAAGGTTGACAGCTATGATTTAACCATATCAGCCAGCAGTTAACCAGCAGCATGTTAGCCAGGGCTGATCCATTCTCAGTAAATTACTTTGTTCTCAATTTGTGGTGTGGTTTTATGAGTAGGTCTGTTGCCTCATAATATTCCGTGTATCTCTGTTTAGTAAGTGATTGATCTAAATCAATATATTTTTCCTACTGTTCACATGCTATTGAAGGCAAAATTCTGAACATGTATTTCATCAGTGTGCAGTAATCGACTTAAAACATGGCTCTTTTTTTTTTTCCATAGCTTTACTCTCTCAGAAATGTGCAACATGAACATAATAGTGTTAAGGAATCAGAAAAATAAAACAAAATAACTTAATGCATACAAGATTTTCAGACTGTCAAAATTTCAACAATTGGCCTTTTTGTTGAGTAAAATCAGCACATTTGTTAATCAAATTAATTTAAAAAGCTTTTCAAAATAAAAGCAATGCTTAAATAAATATAGTCTCTTATATCAATAGAACACTACTTTCTAACAGAGGTAATGCAGATACATACTCAAGCACTGAGAAGATTGAAATATAGGAACACCATTAAGAATGTTTGAGCCAGACATTATGAAGGATGGTGAAATGAAGACTTTTTGTTTTTGGTTTGCTTATGTCCTTCAGCTTCACCATGAGACAGAACCCTAGCAGACAACAGTTTCAGCATGAAGTTGAAAACGGTGGCAATCATTAAATTTCCCAAGCTATTTATTTCTGCTACTATGCTTTCTGTCAAATTTCTTCAAATTTCTAGCACATCACGTTCACCGAATCACACTGGCGTGGTGGAAATATGATTTGAGTAGACTGGGGAGGAGCCATATTTGCGCTGGAATCGTCATGTGACTCATGCACCACTGTTGACGCACTGCCAGCTTTGCCACAGCCCAGCAAATTAGTGTATTTATATAATGACATCAATGCGCATAACACTTCCAAGTAGTAACATGGTAAGTTTGATCATGTGATTTTCAATAGCTGGTCAGGTTAGAGCTTTATTCAACCACTCAGCTCTCACCAGATCATCCTTCTCTTCCACCAGCTATATTTCATTGTGTGCTTGCTCTTGGACATAGCAAAATAAGGCTATTATGTGTTTGCCTTAGGCCTGCTTCTCATGTTAAATGTGTGAGTTTATTCTCACAACCCTTCCTGAAAAGACAGGCTGAGAGAATAACACCACACAACTAGCGCTAGAGAGAAAAGGCTTGAGAACTGCAGAGCAACTGCTGTTCAGCAAGTCTTTCTTCTGAGTAGCATCATTCCATGTTACCTCCACAGTGGTACCTCAGGTTACATACGCTTCAGGTTACATACGCTTCAGGTTACAGACTCCGCTAACCCAGAAATAGTGCTTCAGGTTAAGAACTTTGCTTCAGGATGAGAACAGAAATCGTGCAGGGCGGCGCAGTGGCAGCAGGAGGCCCCATTAGCTAAAGTGGTGCTCCAGGTTAAGAACAGTTTCAGGTTAAGAACAGACCTCCGGAACGAATTAAGTACTTAACCCGAGGTGCCACTGTATTTTGAAAAAAAATAATAGTAACGAATTCCTAGGCCCCACAAATAACCCAGAGATGCATTTTAAATACAGTGGTACCTCAGGTTACATACGCTTCAGGTTACATACGCTTCAGGTTACATACGCTTCAGGTTACAGACTCCGCTAACCCAGAAATAGTACCTCGGGTTAAGAACTTTGCTTCAGGATGAGAACAGAAATTGTGCTCCGGCGGCATGGCAGCAGCAGGAGGCCCCATTAGCTAAAGTGGTGCTTCAGGTTAAGAACAGTTTCAGGTTAAGAATGGACCTCCAGAACGAATTAAGTACGTAACCAGAGGCACCACTGTACTTGTATTCCTAGCCAGACGTGTAACTTCCGTTTGAATGCAGGCCCATGTTTGACATGTATCATGAGAAATAGCCCTTGCTGGTTATATGCGGGATTGTTCATAGGAACAAAGTAAGCAGAATGAAGTTCTTTGAGCTTTATCTCAAGCTCACTGTTTGTACAGTGGTGCCTCGCAAGACGAAATTAATTCGTTCCGCGAGTTTTGTCGTCTTGCGATTTTTTTCGTCTTGCGAAGCACGGTGTCGGAAAAGTTTTGGAAAAGCTTCAAAAATCACCAAAGTCTTCAAAAACCTCAAAAAAGGCTACCACACTCCGCTACTGCTATGAGTTGCTCCTCGAAGTCAAGTCGCAACTGTATTAACAGTGTTAAGAAAAAGGAAACAAACTTGCAAGACGTTTCCGTCTTGCGAAACAAGCCCATAGGGAAAATCGTCTTGCGAAGCAGCTCAAAAAACAAAAAGCCCTTTCGTCTTGCGAGTTTTCCGTCTTGCGAGGCATTCATCTTGCAAGGTACCACTGTATAAACTTCCTTCAGGTAATGACGCTGGGAAACATTCCAGAGTTACTAAGGAGCACCTTCGTATTCTATTATGTCTAAAGGAATATTTGATATCTTACATTTCATAACCAAAGCTTGGAAATCACTCCATCCCTAATTTTGCAGAGCTGAAATATCACCCTGGCTTCCTTGCATGAAACAAAATGGCCAATTTATTCTATTAATATGAGTGCATTTCAAATCATGATTAGCCAAAAAAAAAAAAAGTTAGTGGAATGTTCATCAGAAGTCCCATTGAGATCTATCCAAAAAAATTCTGATTGTTTAATATTTCATCAACTTAATTTAATAGGTAAATTAATTATTTATCATTCCCACTATGCTGAGGAATCCATTATTCATCCATGCCAATAAAAGATTAGGTTCATGTCTGTGCTTTCTTCTGCTGGTAAAATCTGTATTACATAGTTGGAACAGCACAGTTTATTAGAAGCTGCCACTAAAGCAACAGTATGGTACAAAGAAGCATTAAAACTAATGTGTTATGCATTCTCTCTATCCACCAAGATCTTCAGAATGATAAAACCAGTGCTTTTTTTCTGGGGGGACGCAGAGGGACGCATACCTCTAAACATTTTGTGAATCTAAGTTTGTCCTCATTGAGGGGCAGTATTTCAATATGAGTAGGAAAATGAGAGTACCCCTAAACATTTTTAAAGAAAAAAAGCACTGGATAAAACTCTGATCAAAGATGCCAAAATAAATAAGGAAAAGGGCTAACAGTGTAACTTCATGACAGAGCATTTACTAGATCTCCCCACACAAACACACACACACACACACACACACACACACACACACAAAGCTTGGATTTATTAGAAATATCACTACTTCAAGAGTTTAAACTTGGATAAATGAACTCAAATAAAACACTGGCATTGTGAGGATTTTAATACTTCTGATATCCGGTAGAGGGCAATCTAGTGCGGTCTTTTCTCTTTCTCTTTTTAAATGTGTTAAAAAAATAATTTCAGGCTATTGAAATATATGCCATTGCCAGACAGCGATGGTCTTCTTTCACAGCCTCCCATTCTCATCGCCAGTCTCCTTTTCTTCTATTGCCTCCAGGCACCGTTTCGACTTGGCATCCAAAATCCCAGTTCTGCTGAGTCCACATGACAAACAAGCCAGTTGGACCTGCTTCATGTTCTCTATGGCTTCGTTCTTGGCGTTCTTCAGTAGATCACCTTGTCCCTGCGAATACACAACAAGCACACAGAAAGAAGATGAGTCGTGAATAATGCAAGTCCTTAAAAAGATAAAGGGCTCTCTTTCCTCTCTCTCTCTCTCTCTCTCTCTCTCTCTCTCTCTCACACACACACACACACAAACACATACACTTTGTCACAGCATAACATGCACAGACAACAGACAGAATGATAGTGGATGCAGCTGGTCTCTCCGATTTAATACATTATGAGCTGTTAGCAATTCAAGTGAGTTATTAACGCCTCTTTAACCCATCTCCTGACACTAGAGAAAATGGCCAAAATCCAACTAGCAAAAAGGTGCCTTAAATCCTATTGAAAGTAACAGTTCTTAATCATGTACACCCATGCTCTGGACTGATGAAGTTGACTCCTGTCTGGACAATGCTGCTGAGAGCAAATGCTTAAGGGGGGGAAAGCACCTTTGGAGAACCTAAGAATCAAACCAGAATAGACATTTGTTAATCAGCTGAAACACTGAGCCAGCATCAGAATGAACATTTACATCCTCTATTCTTGTTAATGTTTTAGTTGTAATAGTATCCATGGTATAATTATTCAATAGTTTTATATAAAATCAAGAGTGGATCCCGAAATAATCAGATTTCCCCCCCAACATTTCAACTAAAGGGCTTACTAGGGTGGGGGGTTAGCAAACTCCAGAAAGCTGTAATTAACATATTTTCCCCGTTCCATTCTGTTTTTAGTCTGTAGGCTCACTTTGTCCTGCATTCCTAATTCCCCTTGCCTTCTAGTTCAGCTTGCAAAGTTTCCAAAATTAATTTTGGAATTGGCACATACAGTTTACTGTAGTACAGGTTACTGGCGCGCACCAAGGAATAAACACATTAATAAACTAAATCACAGTGCAAAACTAAAAAAACAAACCCCAATCCATGCAATGATGCAATCACATCAGAAAGGTTCGCCATCACCACCCCAAACCTCCACACAGAGAAAGCACATGTAAGTGCTTTGGTGGCGATGTAAAGGGCCTCAGATGGGGTCCCTTCACACAACTGCTTGATGTATCTGCAGTGGGGGTAACTCTGCTACATTCAGCACATGAAGGAGAAGGTCTTGTGAACCAGAAAGAATTTCCGTGCTGTGATTATTTAAACAATGAATATGTGCACCGGCGCATGTCAGCAATCTTAAAAGGCAAAAAGGAAAATGCAAACCAAACTATGGCAAACTGCGCATGCACAGCCATCTGAACTTAAGTCTGGAACTCAAAACCAGATCCCAGCACTTTGACAGAGTTCCGCCAGCTTTTAGATTCGATTTTTGACATTTGCTGGACAGATCATGAGAGTAATGATGCTGCTTTGGAGACAAGACCAGGTCACCACGAACCACAAAATTGTGTGAGAAATTCACATGGGGAGGAATCTGTAAGCATCCCTACAGAAAAGCTCCTCTTTGGGGACATTTTAGAAGAGCACTGCAGCCACCGAGGATCAAAGGCATGCAGGTCCTTAAAAACACTAGCCATAAAAATAGAATGGAGAAATCTGTCAAGCACAACTCCCACAGACGTAACTGTAAGCTTCGCGTTCTAGCTGAAGGGCAGAAGAGAACAAATCAAATAAATGAAGGTTAGGGCTTACACCTTTCCAGGAAGCACAGGATTGCTTCCAAAAACAGAAGCTCCATGCCCACAGAAAACTCCATGCCCACACCTGCATAGCCAGTGATGTGGAGCAGGCAAGGAAGCAGCACAATGCAATGATGCCAGTATTCACATAGCCTAGAAATTTCAGCCCATCACCACATTCTCTGCAAAGGATAGAACCGGAACACAAGAGAGGAAATATCCTGTTGCTACTGTGCATCTGTGCACTGTGACCACCATATTTCTTACAATCATTACAATTCACCTTTTTCTCCCCACAGAGAATGATCCCAGCGTGGTGTAGAATACGAACCTGCAAAGGACCAAAGGGAACAATCTCAAGAAGCGTGAGAAATACATTTTTGCCACATTCAGTGCAAAGCTGTAGACATCTGCCATCACTCAGCTCATGCACAATCCCCCCCCCCCTTTTAGCAAATTTTGGCACTTGGTGAGAACCTGTTGTGACTCGATGATGCACTGACACATGCCATGTGATTCTGCATTCACCCCATTACTCCAGTCCTGGCAAACAAGTTGAGAGAGACAATGGTAGCTGGCAAGGTTCAGAACCAGTAAACAATGCTTGGGAACAATAGCAACTAGATATACCAGCGTGAGCTAAGATTGCATCACAAACTGATAACGTCCGGGGTCATTCAGTCATTCTGCTAAACAACTTAGTGATACAAAGGAGCCCCTGTTCAACACGATGACTCTAGTGTGATTTCAGTGCCCATCCAGCCCTTTATGCCAGACTTCTTTTAAATATCATCACAGCGTTAATTGGTCAACTGCTTCACGACTCCTACAAAGAGAGCATGTAGGAGTGAGCACAAAACCTACAGGTAGCTTATAACACAGTGTAACTGCACACAGTGTTTCTGTTCCATCCATGTACACTAAATACATGAACATGAAGTGAAAATACTCATGTAGGAGACAATCAGACATTATGATCTGCAGATCTGCTTCAGTTATGGAGAAAGCGCAGATAAGCATATGTGAATATGTGTATGTGTGTGGATGGATGGATAGATAGATAGATAGATAGATAGATGATAGATAGAGATAGATGATAGATAGATGATAGATAGATAGATAGGTAGATAGATAGGTAGATAGATAGATAGATAGATAGGTAGATAGATAGATAGATAGATAGATAGATAGATAGATAGATAGAGATAGATGATGATAGATAGATAGATTAGATAGATAGATAGATAGATAGATAGATAGATAGATAGATGATAGATAGATAGATAGATAGATGATAGATAGATAGATAGATAGATGATAGATAGATAGATAGATAGATAGATAGATAGATGATAGATAGATAGATAGATAGATAGATAGATAGATAGATGATAGATAGATAGATAGATAGAGATAGATAGATAGATAGATAGATAGATAGATAGATAGATAGATGATAGATAGATAGAGATAGATAGAGATATACGGTAGGTAAAGTAGTCTCTAGGATGGATAGAATCCAAATCTTTCATTGACTTCCGGAGGCGGCGCGAAACGGTGATGGCGGTCCTCTTCGATCTCTGAAGAGGGGCTCCGCAGGAAAGGGTCGTTTCGCTACGGCACAGCGGCGACCCATTAAGAAGAACCACGGGTAGAGTGAGCCCGTGGCCGTGGGACTCGGCGGGCACCTGGAGCGACCCCGAAATCGCGGAAGGGACCCCGTAAGGGGCTCCGGAGTGAAGGAGGGGTAGCGGTGCTGTGAGTTCATCGCTCTTTCTGCGGAAGCGAAGCCGCGCGGCTGTCACAGATGAGCGCCGACCTTTCTTCCTTAAAGGATTTGACTGAGACAACAACCCCGTGAGTAAGGACATTAAGCTTGGGGACTAAATTGTTTTTAAATTGGCTGAAACCGGGAGACGATAAAAAGGAAGTCCGCCTTCCGGTACTGCTTACAAGATCAAAGCAAAGGATCTGTCAAGCGGAAAGCAGATGAAAAGGGAAGCTTTAAAGAGAGTCTTTCATGCACTGTCAGAAGTGATTGCGGAAAAGGGAAGATAGATCTACTTGTGAGTAAACTTTTAAAAGAAATCTGGAGAGATCTCCCCCGGTCAAGGGTCCTTGAAAGTTAATTTCTAAATTGCCGGGCTGCCGGAGGGGAAATTGTCTTAACTGCGGAACTGTTACAAACTTTTATGAAAGTGATACTTTTGAGCTTAAACAACTTGGAGTGGATACAATTGGTAGGCACCTTTCTGAAACTTTGTTAAAAGTTAAAAGCACTCTGCAGGACTCTTCTTTTGTTATCTTTTTTGGGACTATTGTGTGTTTCCAACATAACAGGGACTTTAATGGCGGAAAAGTTGCCTTCTTCTCTCTGAACTTTTTGTGATACTCCCCCTAGAGGACTTTGGGAATATAAAGGCCTGGGAACAGCTTTGCATGTTTTGTCTCTCTTATAGGATTGTTTTTAAATTGGACCTGTCTTTCCCATGGGACAATAAAAATTTGACCTTGAACATTGACTGATGAGTGGCTCAGGAAAAACAAGAGCAGCTAAAGCTAAGGAAGCAAAAGAGAAGGAAAAGGAAAAAAAACAGACACAGCTCGTACAAACAACTCTGACTCAGGGACGTAGATCTTCGGTCCCAGCTGTGCTGGGTGCAACAAAGGCAGAAGTCGATAGGCCCCAAAACCTTGCAGTGGAGGATATGGCAGCAGGAGGATCTGAGGGAGTATTGAAACAGATCCTGGAGCAATTGGCAGCTTTAAATCAAAAGGTTGACAATCAATCACTAAAAATTGATCAAGCTACATCCTCAATCCAGAAATTGACTGATCAGGTTTCCCAGCATACACAAGCAATTGAAAAATTGCAAGGTGCCACAGCAGAGAATCGTAACTTAGCTGGGGAAGCTATCCAAATTGCCACGGCAGCAAAAAAAGAGGTTGAGGAAGTCAAAGGAGAAGTCAGGCCTTTGCAAAAACAAATTGGTGAACAACAAGCCTACCTTTCCATGGTGGAACTGAAAGATCGCCAGAATAATCTCAGATTAAGAGCAATTCCAGAAATTGAGCAACAAGATTTGATTGGATTTTTGACAACAGAATTCTCAAAATTCTGGAATATAAAGGAAGAAAGTGACTTTAAAATTGTTTCAGCCTTTCGACTGGGAAGATTGGTAAGGAAGGACAGATCCAGAGACTGTTTGATAATTTTGAGATCAAGGGAAGAGAGAGACAAAATATTAGGCCTACATTTTGCAAATCCATTGGAGATTCAGGATAAAAGGGCGCAAATTTACAGAGATATACCAAAACAGTTATTGGACCTGAGAACCACCTATTCAGAACTGGCAAGACTGTTGAGGCTTAACACAATTCGCTATAGG